GTGGGGGGTGGGGGAGGGGTTTAAAACTCCACAAATGCTTCAAACTGCTCAAATGAACCTCTGTGAACACATCTAGATTAATGATTGCTTATCGGGCGAGTTATGCTTTCACCAATGTGCAGACTACTCCCTTTGTTTCACTACTACTCTGTTTCTAATTTTATGATGTATGTGCAGGCTGATAATTATGAGCAAGTGTTTTCTCACATGAAGCCAAATAGCATACTTGGGCTTTCACATGGATTCCTCCTTGGCCATTTGCAGTCAATGGGCCTTGACTTCCCGAAGAACATTAGTGTGATTGCTGTATGTCCCAAGGGAATGGGTCCTTCAGTAAGGAGATTATATGTTCAAGGAAAAGAAATCAATGGTGCTGGAATTAATGCAAGTTTTGCAGTTCACCAGGTCTCTTTCAATACCTTTTCTCTACTTTCTTTCCCTCGAGCCCATTAGTCTTATGTTCAATGAGATGTGATGCCTTTTACTACTGCAGGATATTGATGGAAGGGCCACAGATGTTGCTCTTGGATGGTCTGTTGCCCTTGGTTCTCCCTTTACTTTTGCTACTACTCTAGAACAGGAATATAAAAGTGACATTTTTGGAGAACGAGGTTAGTGTGTTTTCAAGTCTCTTTCTTGCCTATTAAAGCCATTATGGTTGAGTAATTGGTTCTCTCATCAGGTATTTTACTTGGTGCTGTCCATGGAGTTGTTGAGTCACTTTTCAGAAGGTTCACTGAGAATGGAATGAACGATGAGCTTGCATACAAGAATACTGTAGAGTGCATAACAGGAATTATTTCAAAGACCATATCAACAAAGGTTGGTTTTTTATTTTTATTTTTTCGTAATATTATTATGTTGAGAAAGATTATTATTTATTGTTTTTGTCAAAATCGCTCTAAAATTGTTGTATGCACGTGTCCTTTTTCCAGGGCATGTTGGCCGTGTACAACTCATTGACTGAGGAGGGCAAGAAGGAGTTTGAGGCTGCATACAGTGCTTCATATTACCCCTGCATGGAGATATTGTATGAGTGCTATGAAGATGTAGCTACAGGTAGTGAGATCAGGAGTGTTGTCTTAGCTGGCCGTCGCTTTTATGTAAGTCATTTCTTGAATCTGTAGTTTTATGATAGTTACTTGCCTGGATCTGTAGTTTTCTGAAATTAGGTTAGGTTATTGAGAAAGTTTTTGGAGAGCAATTTTGGTAAAATTTGTGCAAATGGATCATCTTTCCAGAAATGTTCTCCGGGAATATTTGGAATAGTTTGTGAGTCCTAACTTTGGGTATTTTGGTCATAAGAAAATAGTGTCAAATTTGACTCCTGAATAGAGTTTGTTTTACACACAAATACAATTAATTCAGGTTTGGTGAACTTTCAAGTAAAATATCTAATCAATATGGGCCTTGTTCACCTCTCTCAGCTATGAGAATAGCAGAAGGGCATTGGTTTTACCCTCTGTATAAGTTTTAAACCGTAATGTTTCTACTACTTAGCCAGTGCCTTTTTTGTATTCAATCCTAATAATTTGTCGACATGAAGGAATTTAATGTTATCATGTGTTAGACTGGGTAATATATAACTTCAAGTGGGTTGTCGAAGAAAAAAGTGAAATACGATAAGGATTTTATCCTTTGTTCTGTACATGCAGGAAAAGGAAGGCTTACCAGCTTTCCCAATGGGGAAAATTGACCAAACAAGGATGTGGAAGGTTGGTGAGCGCGTTCGAGCAAAACGACCAGCTGGTGATCTTGGTCCTATGTATCCTTTCACTGCTGGTGTCTTTGTGGCATTGATGATGGCCCAGGTTTGCTTTCCTATTTAAGACACCACCCTACTTTTGTTCTTATTATACTCTTGAGCCATGGAAGTAGATACATACTGTGTTTTTGCTTGGAAGAGTTCCCTAGCAACAAGCAACTTAATTTTCAGTTCCTCCTTGCTCCTTTTTTAAATAATCTTATTTGATGTCACTTGAGCATCTGAATCTTGGCAAATTGAGAAAGTTGTGCTTTTTGAAGGAAATTTTGTTCGAGGCTTTTCTGAAAGTCAATTGGATTTGACAAGTTTTTTAAGTCATAAAATCACACTGTAAAAGTTCCTAAATGAAGAAACAATATGTGAATAAGATAGGTCCTACTTTCTGACATATCCTTGTCATTTAACTCTTTTTTGTCTTAAATATAAACAGATTGAGATTCTAAGGAAGAAAGGCCACTCTTACTCAGAGATCATAAATGAAAGTGTCATTGAGTCTGTAGATTCTCTCAACCCGTTCATGCACGCTCGTGGAGTGTCATTCATGGTTGACAATTGCTCTACAACAGCGCGTTTAGGATCCAGGAAGTGGGCCCCTCGATTTGATTACATTCTCACCCAGCAAGCACTTGTTGCGGTGGACAATAATGCTGCTATCAATTGGGATCTTATCAGCAACTTCCTATCAGATCCGATACACGGAGCTATTGAAGTGTGTGCTCAACTGAGACCCACCGTTGATATTTCTGTCACAGCTGATGCTGATTTTGTTCGCCCTGAGCTCAGGCAATAAGGCCTTTGTACGTCACTTTGCGAGAGGAGAGAATTTTGTGGTATTGTAAGGTGGAGACGTATTAGTGATGTGTGCTTCTATGGAGGCAAGAATAGTTGCTCAAATCTCTTAGTTTATAAGAATGTTATCCTTTTGGTTGCCACTTTCTTTTTAATGTAGCCTTTTGTTGAGTAACTGGATAAAATAAATTTGAAATTTGGGGAACCTTTCAGCAACTATAATTTGGCAGCAGCCAGCACCTTTGAATAGGTAGGTCAACATAGTCTGCATTTGTCGCCTCAAAGAGAGTCCTAAATCACATCATAAACATCAAATCATATCTTGGCAAAGGACTGATCGTAAGGATCTTCATTTGCTACCTAATTGGTGTTATTTAGTACTAGTATTTTATAGCATTGTGGGCGTTGCCTTTGGTTCGTGCTTCGGAACTATTAGGAATGATTTGTTAATTCTCAAACACTAGTTCCGAATTCTGTTTAAATAGAAAAAGAAATTAGATAATACAGCTTTAAAATGAGAAATGGAATAGATAATTAATTATATTACTCGGTCAGAATAAGGAGTTTATGAGTACATTTTCCCAAGAGATGAAAAGGTTGCTTCCATATCATGAACAAACCTATCAAGGAAATATGCGTACTAAACAGAATCCCATATTAATTATCTTCAACGATTTGTGATTTCTGCTTGAATGCTGCTTTGGAAACCTCATTCTTGACCGTTGTTTCTCTAATTGATTAATGCAGTTGAATGGGTAATGAGGAAATTTGAGTGACCAAATTGATTAGGAGTAGGAATTGTTCTCTATGTTTCCTAATTTGGTTTCCTTGAATGACTAGGAATAGGAACTTCTGATGTTTTTATTTTTTTTTATTTTACTTTCTTAATTTATTAGGCCGGCAAGTTAAACTAGTATCTGGTTTATATACCAGCAGACGAGCATGAAGCCTTCAGGTATCAGTTCATTTAAATCAAATATTTTTAACACCCACTTAGGCATACAAGTAAATTGTACAAAATGATCTACACTAACTTTTTATTTCATTAATAGAGCTCATGTATGCCCTTATTCACAAGTGGAGCATTAGTTTATTTCAATTAATTTCTAATTACGGTGATTAGCACATGGAGCTCCCCGTGGCAAATTTTTAAGCTCCTTTTTTATACCAGCTTCCCCCCCCCCCCCCCCCTTCCAGATCTTACCTGAACCTCCACTGGTAACTAGAATAGTCAAAAGACGTGCTATTGGATCCTTTCCCTCCAAAATTTTGGTAGAAAAGACATCAACAAGCTATTCAAAAGACTGCCATTTATGAATTAATTAGTACGTCCTGGATTTCAATTTTAAGTTTAAAATTTCAGGAGAAAATAAGTACTAGTATCTAAATAGCATCTCTAAGAATGGCCAATGGTGATCTTATCCTTTATTGAATCCTTGACCAAACTGAACGTGTAGCAAAGATTTAAACATTAGTAAATAAATCCGTAATTTTTAAGCTTTAATTCGCATAGGACCCTGAGAATACTAAAGCACTGAATTCGCCTGGGAACATAGAGTAAGAAGGCTGCAAAGACTGAAGTGAACACAACTTCATTATTTTCAATTCATTGGCAAAGCACTAATAGTAACTATGAAATACATCCATGGGACTATATTAAGTTTACAGACGCATTTGTAGGCAGGCCACTCTTCCATAACCTTTCTTCGAGAGTAAGAAACCAGAACCATGATTTAAGTTCTAATTGTCAAAATTATTTCTTATTCTTTTCGCCCTGATCCCCCAAAGACATATTTCCTCCTTCAGGGTAACAGAAATAACTACTCACTGTGCTAATGCCGATAAGATCATGTACTAATTAATTTTCCATAAAGGTTGCAGTCATCTTATAAAGCAACTTCAGAAAAGAGGGATTGGAATGCACCAAGGGAGAATTCGGAGCGATTCAATGCAGCACTCGCAATTGACTTGTCTTCCTCAAGTATTTCAATTTTGTCCGATTTTCCCTGTATGAATGATGCATTGGAACATGCTAAAATTAGTACAGATGAGAAATTTGAGCAAAGCTAGAGTAGAATGAGTGCTTTAAAATGTGAACAATGGATACATCAGAAAATCAACATCTATGTACAACTTGGAAAAGGGTAGAAAGGACTAACTATATTGTTTTCATTAAAACTAAAAAAAGAAGGAGAACAGGGGAAGTATCTCCTTAAGCCTACCATATTTAGTCCATTCTACCCTATAGGAAAAAGACTTAAGTTGCTGTAATGGGAAAAGTATGTTTTGGCTACAATATTACAGCAGCAAGAGAGTGCTTTTCTGCTGTAATCATGTGGAATATCTATACCATAAACTTGCAAATGGACTTAGTTACATGAATATTAATTTTAGGGTCTGACTAAGCAACTAAAGCAAGTATGAGATGCAGGCATTCATATCACTAGAGCTGTGAGATCCAGCCCCATAAACAGAAATAAAGATAAAAGTGGGATAAAGGTATCTAATGGAAGTTCAAGAGGTGGTTCAGTTCAGAAGGTATCTAAACAGAAATGTATTCGGAGTGTGTGTAACACAGTGGGTTTTGGGTTTTCAGTTTTGAATGGTGAGTCTCTTGAGGACTTTGCGATAAAACAGCCTGTTTCAATGATATGTTTTTCTCTTCTTGAGCAGCGGTTTTCCTGTTAGTTGATAAGGGTTTTCCCCGTAAATCTCGTTATTCTTTTTTAGTATGGTTATTGACTTATTATCATCCTGGTGGGTATTTCTTAGGTCCTAAGATAAGTCACTGTCAAAGTAATTTAACAACTTTCTTTATCACCTCATCGCGTGATCCTCTGATGTAGCCTACAATCACAACTTCCATTTTGCACTCCTGGATCTGCTCATCACTTGAATCTACTATACAAGCTTGCTGAAATAGAATAGAAAATCAACATGGTTATCTTTAAACTAGGAAAATATAGAAGAAAGAGAAATTTGAAGTAAGAATCCGACAAAAGATAAGAGAAAAGAAAAGCTAATGTACATCAAGTAGGAATTAGGGCCTACTGCAAATAGACACATTTTAATTACAAGCAACAACATGCATGAAACAATTAAAATCGGCTAAAAAAACAAGTGAACTTTTTGTCATCGCTTAAAACGAATGCATTTCCAAAATTTTGCACTGTTTGATGCTTAGTCAGTAGCATGTCAAACTATAGATTACACAGAGACATATAGAGTACCACCGCAATAGACACTCATAAATTTTGTATGCATAAACGAAGTATTCTGCATTATCCTTAACTGAAGACAAATAAGCAACCAAAATAGAAAGAGTTACATGAGCATTCAGCAGTGTCAATTGAAGAAGCATTGGGTAGTTTACTCACCATCTTTCTCTTAGAACTGCAGCAGCCATGTCCCCAACCACTTCCGAGAACAATCTTTATGAACTTGTATGCCTCCGGTTTTGCCCAGCCAAAATAAAGTCCAAACACTTGATCGGGTAGAGCAGACGGCCCATCATCTGGATATGATCTTTTGTCAGAATTTTCATTTATAGCAAGAGGAAGCTCTAATAACAAGAAAAAATGGCATGATTGTAGGAGTATGTCAACTTTCTTAAAAAAAGATAAATATTATAGGAGTATGACAAGAATTTTGAGAGCCTAATATCATAAATAAGAAGGAATCAGGGAGGGAGGGCATGAGGCTTGTCCAAGACCTGTAAAATCATGGAGGATGCCATTTCTGTACAGACCCCTGAAAAAAACAGGTTCAACCAGCAATGCATTACCAACCCCTGCAATCATTAAATGATACAAGTTGCATCAATGCAAGTAGGACATTCAGGACCATATCATAAAGTACGCATACAGGAAAAGAAGCATACAGTCTTCAAATGGTGGGAGACCCCATAGTTCCGGCTTTAATTCTAGGAGTGAACGAAGCACAGAATCAGCTATTGAATATTGATCAAATTCAGAATGGAAAGATGGCACAGCTACCACCTTCATTTTAGCAGCCTTGCCTGCCTTGACTCCAATTCTGTCAAAATAATTGGAGAAGGAGCTATTGTCATATCAATTTTCAGTTAATAAACAACGTACAGCGGCGTGTGCATTAACTGCACAAACGTGTTCCTGAATATGTTGAATCATTAATCATCAGTTCACGGAAGAGAAAATGAAAAAAGGAGCAGGTTAATTTATAGGAAATGCAGGATCACTTTGATGCCTGCTCTAATCTAACAGAATATATAATCACTGAGAAAATAATTAAAGACAGAAATACAAGTAACCCAAAGCTCCTCACATGCGTTAGTGTGTGCCACAGCACAACTTATCTTTTCATGAACAACTAGGTAAAAGTTGTCAGCACTCAGCACTACTAGAGTTAGGATAGCACACGTTCACATCCCATGCGAATCATTTTTAAGTTGCTGCTTATTAGCAAAAGGGTATCCTGGAATATATCTCTAGGCTTTGATGCTAAGGCAACAACTAGCAACCATCAAAATTAGCAGCTTTACAGAGTTCGGTAATTAAGACTTGCATGTGTGTACTTATATGTATCATCAGCTTATTTCAGTCTCATCCAGAAATGATAAAAAACAAGAGGATTTAATGGTTAAGGCCTTTATGTGCTAAAATAAAGATAAGACTCCTACTCATTCCAGTTTGCCACTAATGTTTCTCTTGGAGTTAAAATAACTAAACATGATCCATGCACTGGGTAGGGTAAACTGTTAAACTAGTGCTGGATTTCAAGAGCCGAATTTTTGCAAACTTAAGCTCAAATTCAGTTCTCAGTCCCACTCAATAATTGTTAGATGAAATGATATACTCATGATATCAACATATGTTAGACTCAAGATCAGCTTCAAGAATATGTGTTCAGCTAGTCAAGTTTGCTATTAGTGGGGACAAAAGAAGAGGAATGGCAACTTATTGAGGTATATGTTAATCTGCTATAAAGTTAAGCAGTAAACTAATGCTAGTTATGCTGATCACTACTATGTGACCACGTAAGTTTGACACTTGAGAATAGAAATACAAGCACTAACATGAAAGATCGGTGATTTCTATCGCTCACTAGCACACAACATAGGTATGTAAAGAACTGTTGTAAACTAGAAATGAGAAATGATGAAAAGGCTACTTACACAGAATCCTCAATCACTAGGCAGTGAGCTGCATCTGCACCCATTTGCTTTGCAGCTTCCAGAA